TACAGTTACCGTGGTTACAGTTACCGTAGCGTGAGGTTACAGTTACCGTAGCGTGTGGTTACAGTTACCGTAGCGTGAGGTTACAGTCACCGTAGCGTGGTTGCAGTTACCGTAGCGTGAGGTTACAGTTACCGAAGCATGTGGTTACTGTTACCGTAGCGTGAGGTTACGGTTACCGTATTGAGTTTATTGCCTTAGCGTCACCATAATAAAGCGGTATTGATTTTAGCGGCTATTGGATATTCTACGCGTGTTGTATACGTAAAGAATAAATGTATAGATGAAAGAACATTAGTATTGTGTGGATTAACGTAGCATAGATGTAGGATTACGTTCATAAATCTGCATTTGCATCACATTTTGTAGGCGCAACCTTGTACACTGAACATAAATGCTGGGGAGGCTCAGGGTGTTCATTGTTTATCATTGTTACTCATTATTTCTTTATTATTATAATTAAAGAAATGACTAGCGCTTTAATTACTATGAAACTCCTCTAGATGGAAACGATCACGACATCAGTTCATAATTAATTATTGTCCGAAGATTCAATTAGTTATTATGTTTTTATAACATTTTAAAGCTATTGATAACATTTGAATGAAGTAAGATTATCCAGAAATTAGCATCCGATAAGTCAACCTCATCACCATTAATCAACTCACCATCACAAGCCTCACCATAGGCCACATCACCATCAAATGATTCACCATTAAATGACTCACCATCACAAGCCTCACCATAGGCCACATCACCATCAAACTATTACCATCACAAGCTTCACCATAGGCACATCACCATCAAACTACTCATCATCACCAGCATCACCATGAGCCACATCACCATCAAACTATTACCATCACAAGCTTCACCATAGGCCACATCACCATCAAACGACTCACCATCACCAGCATCACCATCTCAGTGATTGTGGCAGAGGAGCAATCAAGCGTAATTGCGTCCATGATTGGCAAGGGATAGACGGGATATGGGCTGTCTCTTATACACATCTAGATGTGTATAAGAGACAGATATTATCGTTATCCATGTCATCGTTTTTATTATGGTTTTTGAAGGCAATATTGTCTACAAAATTTCGACTGCTCGATGATGCTGTTAAGCGAGAAAAGACTGTGAGCTACAATCACGTTACAGGCAGGGCTTAGATTTAATGGAACGCCTTTAGAAATTATAGCCTAATTTATCAGGATCTCAAATGGAGTAAACTAAAGTGAGGCATTATTAATGAACACGTTTGATAGGATCAGATCACACTTTTATAGGCTGAAAGTTTTCTGGCTGCTTTAAGACTGAAAAAACAAATTTTAAAGACTTTGAAAGCAATTCTTGATTGAATATCCTGATCTAAAAACCTCTCCAAATTTCCCTCCAAATATCTGCCCAATTTCCCTGCCGAGGACAAGAGCCAGCGGGCGTTTTCCCCTCTCGCAGACACAGAACAACACCCCTCAGAGGGCCGTCATTATCTTGCTCGCTCCACGCTTTCCCCCCACGGATTTTTCTTTCGCAACTCAATATCGAGTTCTTTTTTGTCAGGGCTCAACGAGCGGCTAAGTTTTACCTTTCGAAGAAGAAGCGAGGAAATTTCCGCTGCCTCCGGTGAAAAATATGGAATTTTAGACGATCTCTTGTTTGCTTCAGGTTATTCTTTTATTATATATAATTAGATATAATACATAATTAAAGAGTAATTAAATTATGTTAGTCCAAATGATGTAAAATGAGATAATGCTAACTAATCATACATCGAAAATAATACGGTCGGTAGATACGGTCAAAAAAAGTGACACGACGGTGGTTCAGGGCTGTAATTCTGGTGAGTGNTTGATGAGGCCTGTTGTTGAGGCCTGTTGATGAGGCCTGTTGATGAGGTCTGTTGATGAGGCCTGTTGATGAGGCCTGTTGATGAGGCCTGTTGTTGAGGCCTGTTATTGAGGCCTGTTGTTGAGGCCTGTTGATGAGGCCTGTTGAAGAGGCCTGTTGATGAGGCCTGTTGATGAAGTCTCTGTTGACGTGGCCTGTTGACGTGGCATGTTGACGTGGCATGTTGATGAGGCCTCATCAACATGATCTCCCTGAGGTCACTCAACCCAATTGTAAATCAGAGCCTCATTTGTGAGTCAGTTACAACCTTAATTATCTCATTAATATTATTTAATTATGGGGCGCTGAAAACCTTAATTACTGCATTAACTTCAATTACATTAACTTCAATTACGTTAATTTAATTAGGCAGAGCACCGGCCTTCCATAAACCACCATGCGATGGCTGTACGATGGACAGCGATTTTGCCTGTTAATTTTTGTCTGTTAAATTCTCATCATCTCATTATGACTCTCATTACTGAACTATTGTTACTCTAATTGCCACTCAAATTATAATTCATAAAATTACTTATATTTAAAATTTTACTATACTTCTTGATATGACTCTTATTAAAATTCATATTAGGACTCTTATTTTAACTCGGAACTTTTAAGTTAATTAGAACTTATCGGCTTTTGTCTCCAGTAGCGTGGTTCTAAATGACAAATGGCATTTAAATACTGAACCTTCTATTATTAGAATCCATTTTTATAATCTTCATCCACCACCGCCATACTTATCCTTCAAATCCTTAGTTTTCTTATAATACATTGATCTTCAATATTAATATTATTCTTTAATATATTATTATTACTGTTTTACTGATATTTTTCTCTTCACATTCATACTCATTGAAATTCTAAACACTATCACTAACATCACCGTTATGATCGTAGTTTATAAATCCACTATGACACTAGTGTCCGAGAGTAGGTCGCGGAAACAAGTCCTAATGTGTTTACCAACAGACCTAGTTAGCTATTGAGTCCACGAGTCAACATCTGATAGACACGTGATAGATCACGCGATCAAGACCGCAGTAGTGGGCGGAAGCGAACGTTATAAAAGGGCTAGCAACCTAAAGCAAAGCCCCCAGTAGCTGATGAGCACTCCGTGTTATATTGCTACGTGTTATAAATACAAAATCGTACAAAAAAATAGATTCAAGTCTATCGAGCGTTTAATTGTAGCAAAATTATTAGTTAAATGGTCATTTGCTACATTGATTATGCGGTAAAGGTTTGATACCTTCCCGAGACTCATCTAATATTTGCGAATCATAAGCACTGCTACCTGTGGATGTACAACAGTAGTATAAATACGATTACTCAACTTTCAGTCCGGCGACCCTATTAGATGCCTTGACAGTTTCTGTTGTTTATGCCGTCTCTTCTTTTCACATGCTCATCTTGCACAGCATGTTGTTGAACTCAATTTGAGGTGCTGTATGCGTTCACCCGCTGTAGCTGTTGTAGAAATGTTGCTCTATATGATGTGAAGTTTTAGCTTTTTGTTGTTGATTCCTTTGCTGACTGCCATCGACAGTCGTAGCCATCTTCGCTGCCACCTTCTTACGACACCGCTGGCTTGTTGTAGGACGCTTGTATAGGCGCCCTCAGCTGATGCCGGCCCTTGTAATCGCTCTCGTAGACGCTCTCGTAGACGCTCTCGTAGACGTTCTCGTAGACGCTCTCGTAGACGCTCTTGGCTCTGCATGTTGTATCGGATTCAGAGAACGCAGAAAAATGCGTGGACGCTTCAAATTACTCTGCGTCAGTTGTAGGCTCGAAAGTCTTGACGTTGCAGGTTAACTAAGACGCGCCAGACAAAACATGAATATTCTCATCGTTTTCGGCTGCAGAAATTAGTAGATGAATGTCTTCTTGGTCTCTTCTTCAGACGTTTAAATGAGTTAAACATCGCAGAAACAATCCGTTGAAAGGCTTGGTCGCACGAAAATCACTATGCGACAGTGTTGCTATAATCACAAACACTTCAAAAGTCTTTCACTTCACCACCGTATTTAAAGTCTCACAATTATAGTCAAGCAGTCGAGTTTCACTTTTAAGAAAACACGGCTGTTATCACTTAGTTCGGGCGCCACTGTCACAGGTTGTAAATTAACTACAAACTATGATATTGAGCTCTTGTTATATTAAGCTCTACCTGAGGATCGGGTTTCGTTGACTAAGGTAGTGAGGGATAAGTAAGACACACAAGTCCAGATAACGTATCTTGTATACGGGGTGGTTATACAGAGTTGCGATACAGAAGAATAAGCTTCGGCATCGACCGTCAGGTCGGAGAACTCAAGCTACACGCTACATCGCGGAGTGCTCATCAGCTACTGGGGGCTTTGCTTTAGGTTGCTAGCCCTTTTATAACGTTCGCTTCCGCCCACTACTGCGGTCTTGATCGCGTGATCTATCACGTGTCTATCAGATGTTGACTCGTGGACTCAATAGCTAACTAGGTCTGTTGGTAAACACATTAGGACTTGTTTCCGCGACCTACTCTCGGACACTAGCATCACCATTATCATCATTATTGTTACTGTTTTACTGATATTTTTCTCTTTACATTCATACTCATTGAAATTCTAAAAACTATTACTAACATCACCATTATCATCGTAGTTTACAAATCCATTATTACTATACATCACCATGATCATCATTATATTTTATTTTGTAACTGTTTTAGTGATATTTTTCTTCTCACATTCATACTCGTTGAAATTATAAAAACTATTACTAACATCACCATTATCATCGTAGTTAACAAATCCACTATCACTAACATCGCCATTAACATCGTAGTTTATAATTTCCCTATTACTAGCATCACCATAATCATCGTAGTTTAAAAATCCACTATCACTAGCATAACCATTATGATCGTAGTCTACAAATACACTTCTACTAACATCACTATTATCATCGTAGTTTAAAAATCCACTATTCGTAACATCACCATTATAACCGTAGTCTACAAATACATTTTTACTAACATCACCATCCTCATAGTAGTTTACAAACCCACTATTATACTAGCATCACCATGATCATCATGATCATCATTGTATTCACCCACCCCCTCTCCCCCATTGCAGTGGGCCAACACCCGCTCCTGGGCAAGACCCGGCGCCCCCGGACGGCGTTCACGTCCCAGCAGTTGCTGGAGCTTGAGAAGCATTTCAGGGAGAACAAGTATTTGTCCCGACCCAAGCGCTTCGAGGTCGCCACGAGCCTCATGCTTACCGAGACCCAGGTGACACGTGGGACACTTGGGGAGGGTAATGAGACACATTAAGGGAAGGATAGTGGGACACTTGGGAACGGTAGTAAGACACTTTAAGAGATGGGTCTTGGGACACCGTAAAGGGGTGGATAGTGAGACACCTTAAGGGAAGGGTAATGGGACACTTGGGGAGGGTAGTGAGACACCTTAAGAGAAGGGTAGTGGGACACTTGGGACGGTAGTAAGACACTTTAAGAGAATGTTCTTGGGACACTTTAAAGGGGTGGGTTGTGAGATCCCTTAAGGGAAGGGTAGTGGGACACTTGGGGACGGTAGTAAGACACTTTAACACGTTGACTACGAACATTAACACGACCACTAAATGTATTTCTCCAGGACGTAGTGGTTCATAATTCGGGTTACCTAAAATTGACCAAATCCGAGAACAAAAAATATAACTCAGTACTCACTGCAGTGAGTGACAGAGAGCGCTTTTTCTCGCCGACGAAAACTTGAGGTCACGGACGGACGGACAGACGAACGGACAGACAGACAGACGGACATGGCGAGCACAATAGTGCATTTTTTCCATAAATGAGAAAATGCGCTAAAAAGGCCAAAAAAGGCCGATAACTCCAAATATACTAGTTTATTTGCAGGTTCCACTATGAAAATTCCATTTAATTTCTTTTTGAAGTATTCAAAATTTAATTAGGAAGTACCCCTATCATAAATTTTAGATGGCCAACGCAATTGAGAAAAAGGAAATCACGGAATTTGTCCGGAAAAATAGCCGTCTGGCAACCCTGTTTAAAAACAGTACAAAGAATGAAATAATAGTACAAGATGAAGCAATCGTAGTCAACGTGTTAAGAGAAGGGTAGTGTACTGTAGGACGTGACAACAAGTATAAGATACTTGGGCAACATTGATGGGTTTAATAACTCATGCGAGGGTAGGTCAGGGGATACTTTGAGGGGTGCTGGATCTCTGGAGGGGAAGTATATTGAGCACTTTCTTTGTAATTCGTATGGAAGCGTCTGAACTATCGAATACAATTTAACAATATAATTCATCCATATAAAAATTGATTTCGTAGTGCACAAATTAAAAGTGATTTCATTTTCCATTATTTCCTCGACTTACGTAGTCCTGTCTGCCGTGACAGGTCAAGATTTGGTTCCAGAACCGGCGCATGAAATGGAAGCGCAGCAAGAAGCCTTCAGGCGCCGAGAAGAAGGAAACCTCCAAGAAGGATTGCTGCTCTACCACCAACTCCTCCAAGACAAACAACAGAAGCTGTACGCCGTCACCGTCACCGTCGTTTGACGACGCAAACTCGTCGTCCCTCGTCGTGGCAGACGCGAGTCACGCAGAATGTCTCTCCGACGATTCCGACGAAGAGGAGATCGACGTGCAGCACGAAGATGACGCGGCTGGTGGAGGCGACGATGGGGAGACGAAGTTAGAAATAAACGAGGTTAGTTTACCGTCAACCCTGGCGTGTATTAGCGTGAGTTCTGTGGATGGGGGAGCTTTGACCCCCAGCTTGGTGTTCGGGGTGAGAAACCACCTAGGGGGATCGCTCAACATGATGCATAACATCAACATCATTGGATCGCTTGGTGGTGGTAACAACCCTGTCAGTTTACCACACCACAACCGAGATGAGGACCAGCCATTTCACACCCATCCCACCACGGTTGACTTGCACAACACCAGCGTATCTATGGCGTCACAAAATGGCTTGATTCAAAGTCCCCTAATGACACAGTCTTCTCAATTGGTCCACTCATCCAGTCCAGCGTTTCCTCCACAAACACAAATCGTTCAAACTTGTCATGCATCCGCAACTCAAACATCTCCTCCCATCCTCGCCTCAAACATCGCTCTATCTCAGGCCCAACATACCTTGCTGGCTAACAACATATCCCCCATACAATCCCCACAAGCGGGTTTGATTCTCCCCTCTGGGGTTGTGATACCTTGTGATCCCAGAAACCAGACCGAGGAGGTCATGCGTCCTTCCTCAGATTCGCTTTGCTCGCCGGATTCTTCAACAGTCAACCTCAAAAAAAGCCATCGGAAATCATTCAAAAGTCCTGGTCTCAAAACAGGAGGCAATGGGGCGGTCAACAGCCTTGTCAATAAGGGGGCGATGGACTCTCCATGCTTAGGGGGCAAAACTAGCGGCATGACGCAAGTTATCTGCAACAACAACGTAAATAGAAGTGACGTCACTACGTTGGTCACTAACGGACAGGACGCTGAGACGTTGTACAGACCGTACGTCGCCTAACCTTGCAGTACTTAAAGTCCTATGAATAATTCATACTTTAATTTATTTTCAACCGTAAATTCGTTATATATCACGCTACGCAATTTTGGCCCAAACGCAAACCTCCAAGTGTATACGCTTTGAAAATAGCTTGGCATGAGACTTTTTTAAGTTTCTGATTTAAACGCAAAACTTTCAATTGTTGTTCCACGTACCTAGTTAGGTTACATTACAGTGCACGTAGCACGTGAACTAATGCCCAACGTACGAAAAAATTCAACTGCATTTCGAAATTATTTGAATAATTCAATTATTTTATTTTAGAGTTACTTTAAAAACATGTAACCTGTTATTATCCGATTAATTCAATGGAAAAAATTAAAAATGTTGAAAATATTTCCGTAAATGAATCTAATGAATGAAGAGGCATTTTAATGGAATTAAATTTCATTTATATTTAAGATATTTACGTCCATTATTCTTTTATAAAATTCTCGAATGAAAAGTTTGCCAATTCTTTTTTTAGTGAAGGATAATATATTGGGCATTATATCAGAAGTAGTGGCTGGTAGCCGAATTATGGCCGACGATGGCACGGCGACATTCATCATTGATTCATTATCCGCAGTTCAGGAAGAAGAAAGTAAGAAAATTTTCTGTTCTTACCCCGAGAAAGTATATTTTCCTAAATGATATCAGCGTAGTTTTAATTTGTGCAATAATGATGATGCAGTGTCGGATTTATGCATGTTATTGTTTATTCTCAAAAGAGAATCAGAAAACAGAGAAGCAAGATGCATGCATTCACCTGATAATTTGATGAAAATAAAAATTCACTTAACCGGATGAAGGACTGGAAAACGTGAAGCCGTGAATACGTTGAGCTATTAAAATTCCAATTTGTCGCATTTTATATAAAAGTGTTTTTCATAATTATAATGCAAATTGAGACACGCGTCACAGATCACATTCAGAAAGACAATATGGCACTCCAGTCTCCGGGCTTTTCCAAATTTGTTGATGACTTTTGAAAATTGTTATTTTTCTCATTCCGTAGTATAAAGGAAAAGCCAAAGTGTGTTCTGTCCACATGATTTTAATTGTGAATTCAGTCCGATTTGCTAGTATCTTAACATCAGTGAAGTATTTTAAATATTATGCTTGTGTGAATAACTTGTGTGACCGAGGCATGATAATTAAGCCTGTGAAACCATCACTATGTATAACCTGAAATTATCACTATTTAAAAGCAACAGAATAATAGTATTTTTTTTTAGATAATTAAGTATCGAAAAAATCAGATGGACTCTGAATATGTTGGGTTTAAGTCAAATCACATACAGGTATGTAGTATGATCTGAAGTTGAAAGTTGAAAATAACTATTTCATTATTATAAAATAATTGTTATTGGTAGTAACACCATGACAATGTACAGTACTATGATATCGACGTAAAACAATGATGTAGCACCATGCTAACGATGTAGTAACACCATGACAATGTACCATGATAACGATGTAGTAACACCATGACAATGTACTCTACTCACAACTGATTGGTATGCTGCTACTCACAACTGATTGGTATGCTACTACTCATAACTGAACGGTATGCTGCTACTCACAACTGATCGGTATGCTGCTACTCACAACTGAACGGTATGCTGCTACTCACAACTGATCGGTATGCTGCTACTCACAACTGAACGGTATGCTGCTACTCATAACTGAACGGTATGCTGCTGCTCACAACTGATCGGTATGCTGCTACTCACAACTGAGCGGTATGCTGCTACTCATAACTGAGATCGGTATGCTGCTACTCACAACTGAACGGTATGCTGCTCCTCACAACTGAACGGTATGCTGCTACTCACAACTGATCGGTATGTTGCAATTCGCAAGCGCCACCAATTCAACCGATTGATGTTGCACATGAATAACAATGAGTCATGATCCAGAATATGAACATAAAATATTCATTGATATTTACACATAACATCTCTGACCGAAGCTCGGGCGTCTCTGCGTCGAGACTGTTTCCTGGAATCTAGGGTTCCTTCTTGTTGAAACATTTCTGCTCTGATAAAAACTCTTTCAACATTTTCGGCATTTTATTACTTTCAGCATTTTCCGTATTATTATCAGAACGATGTATGAAAAAAGCAAGGATCATTCAAATTTAAAACTTTACCGTCATTTTAACAAATCAGTTAAAATGCCAGTTTACTGAAATGAGAAAACATTCCCAGACAACCACTAACATTATTTTTGCGTCAAGCATCACATATGTCAAAAAGATTTTATAATATATTTTTTGGTAAGAAATTAGCAAAATGACCATAATTTTAAACGCATCTAATCCGAAACTTTGTGGGGGATAAAAAATTTCACAATATCAATGCATCCAAGGCGAATTTATTGCAATGCAGTCAATTCGTGCTATCATGGTCCCTCTCTGTTGAGTCCAAGCCAAAGATACTTGTAAGACATTTGATAATGAATAGAAACTCCATTAGTTCATGTCTACAAAGCCAAATTCAAATCTGTTTTTCGTAAAAAAAATTTGAAGTAATTCACGGATATACAGTATACCAGTAGTGGGTGATGACACAGCTAGTTTTTTATTTCACTTCGTCGACTTGGTCAGCTAATGCCCCCAAATTTATACCTTCAAATTTCCAGATGAAAGAACGTAAAATTTCGCTATGAAGCATCGAAAACGAAACCCAAGACGCGTGTCGGTTCGTATCCTTGGGTTACGCTAACAAATTTCCTGCCGGGAGTTCCTTCAGTGAGAGTTTCGGTTCAAACAAACGAATTCTCAAATTACAAACCACCTAAAATTCCCCATAGCCTGATTGCAACGCGTGCTTTTTTGAAGGAAGTTTCCTTGCAGCCAAGTTTTTCCCACGACCGCCACCGCACAAAAATCAAACTCCCGGTCCGCAATCCGCGATTCTTACTCACAAAAATCCCGGAGCATGTACGCAAAATCCGCGTTTGAACTTCTGTGGAGAGTGAAATGCGCACCGCCGACATACCTTATGTGATGCTGCAAACATGTTGAAATTGATATTTTACTCGTTCAGCTAAGAGGTAAGTAGTTCCAAATTTATTTTAAATTTAGACCTGGTTTGATTTGGGAGAAAAAATAGCTTATCTCCATGTTGAATAAATTTGGAAGATAATCCATCCGCCAACTCCAAGTTTATTTACTGGAAACCAACTAAACCCACTGCAACTAAATGAAAATTACTGGACATGCTTTCCAATTGCGCCGTGACTGTACAATGCACATGGCTGGGCCAGAGACACTATAATCACTATAGTATTGTAATCGTGTCATCGTTCTTTATTAATAAAATCTGCTATTTTATTAGTTCTCGAATCATCGAATTTAGAATATTGTTTATGAAAACATGTCATTGTTTATGGTATCACCCGCTCACCGAGGAATTATGAGAGAGTAGCGGGATATTCGTCTCACATGCCGATAAAAATCATTGGGATACTCGTCTCACATGCGCATGCCGAAAGTGATCATCGGGATATTCGTCTCACATGCTGGTAGTGATCATTGAGATACTCGTCTCACATGCCGATAGTGATCATTGGGATACTCGTCTCACATGCCGATAGTGATCATTGAGATACTCGTCTCACTCTTATACACATCTAGATGTGTATAAGAGACAGGCACCATGATAACGATGTAGTAACACCATGACAATGTACTATGATAACGATGTAGTAACACCATGACAATGTACCATGATAACGATTTAACACGACAAAAAAAACACGATTACGATACAGTACGATGACGATGTGATTCGATGATGACGATGCAGTACGATGATGAAATCGTACGATGAAGATATAATATATAGTATGGCGGTGCTATACTCTACAGTTTTAAGAATATGAAGACGATATTTGACGATGTAATACGTATATAGATGGTGATGCTGTAGGTACTCTACAGCTTTTAAAATACGATGACGATGTAAAACGATGACGATATTGCACATCAACGATGTAGGATTTTTATGACGATGAAATTCACTATGGATGTAAGCACTGTAAGACTTCAGCAATCATGTTATAAGTTAAATATATAATTTAATTCTCATGTCGTTCATTCAAGAGACAAGGTTCAGCCATTTCGATGCTGGAACGAAAATATGGCATTTCATTCATATATAGCATCAATAGAAACTTCTCCTGCAACATTTGTATGGCATTTCTTAGCTGAATTTTAACGCATTTTTCCCTGCCTCTGTTTTAGTTTTCGGTCATGTGTTTGCGATGTTATTTCTATTTGAATTTTATAGAACTTTTCATCATCGATGTGGATCTTCGTACCATATTCCTGCCAAGACTTAATTTTGCCTGAAGGGTAGAATGAGCCCGGCGTTAAATCATCGGTGCAGGTTTTTTCAATTAAGCTCAATTAATGCTGTAATAAATAGCTTATTATTCTATTGCATTTGTCGTAGTTATAAACATTCCTCGCTAAATAAAGAAAATTTTTCTGCCAATTATCGTATATAATTGTTACCTCCTAAGACATTGTAGTGTATAAATATTGTTTGCCTTGTATACAACACAAAATATTCCCTCTGAATTAAATCGATCGCAATTTTTGTGTTGGTTTCTTTCCTAATTGAGAATTTGTAATGAATTTTGAATGGCCGATCGTCGGTCATTCATCATCCTTGTGTGAACCGTCGAATTCATACTGAATTGTGTGAATTCATACTGAATATTCAGATAATTTCTTTATAAAATACTATTTTTGAATTGATTAAATGGACTCTAACTTCAAACTAACGCTTCGATTAGATAACTTAATTTGTTTATTAACTAATTTTCATTACGAGTCAAGTTAACAATAACAAACATCGCAAATGACTTTTTTCAATGTAATGATCACACCGAGATATTATTCATTTTGGATCAAATCTTATATTAGAACCATTGTATAACCTTAAATTTTAGAAGGTTCAAAATCATAAAATGAAGACGGTGTATACATAATGGCCCAGTAAAACCGTGGTTTAGTCATCAAAAAGCCGCTGTATAGTCTTCACATCAAGTCGCTGTATAATCTTCATATCAAGCCGCTGTATAGTCTTCACATGAAGCCGCTGTATAGTCTTCAAATCAGGCCGCTGTATAGTCTTCACATCAAGCCGCTGTATAGTCTTCATATCAAGCCGCTATTTAGTCTTCATG